TTCTTTCTTTCTTTCTTTCTTTCTTTCTTTCTTTCTTTCTTTCTTTCCTTCCTTCCTTCCTTCCTTCCTTCCTTCCTTATTTATTTATTTATTTATTTATTTATTTATTTATTTATTTATTGCCTTTCTATCCCATTGGGAGTCTACTGAGAGCAATGGTACCACCATGGAGAAGCAACAAATTCTGGTTTTGGTTCCCTTGGCCACTTGGCAGTGTGGGGCAACAAGGAGTTTCTTATTTAATGAACCAGTTTAAAAAACAATACTTTAAATATTTGTCAGGAATCAATCAGCAACCCATGCAAGATGTGAAGAATCAGTGTTACGTTCTCTGGTGCTTACATATTAGGATTTCCAGTGATTTGCTTGATAACCTGGCAGTAAACCTCATCATGCAGAGTCTTCTTATCTTTGCACCACTGTAAAAACCGAGGGGGGAAAATGTGAAAAATTTAGTTTCCTCTTCTCTTGCAGGCCACATGGGAGGCACTAGGATTACCCCTGTTCTGAGAAACACTAGGATATTAACTTTTCTGCAATGGTCCCTAATTGTACTTTGCAATCCTGAACTCCCAAGTTTGGCGTGTTATCTGGCACTTTCATTGGACTCTGAGATCAGATTGAGGTCAGTATTTCATGATAATCTGCATTGTGGTTGTTAGGAATATATGAAAAACCCTTTGGTTCTGATGAAGAACCCAGAAACTGGGACTTCCTATTCCACTTAACCATCACACCTTTAGCAAGCAGAATTTGGAGGTCAAAGAGGCAAGTTATATGTGCCACAGAAAAGGAATCAGGAATGAATTTCCTGCTGAACTCAGAGCAGAAGCTCAGATCTTCTCAAAAGTTTAACAAAAAGGCAACAGCACTAGCTTACCATAGTTTTGAAATAAACCAGACTATATATCAACCCATTAGTGATAAGAACTCATATTTTGAAATGACTCTGAGAACTTGGAGTGTTTAACTTCTTTCCTTTCCTAACTTTTTTGCTTCCTTTCCCTCCTCCCATTCCCTACTTTATCTTGATTGTCAGCTAAAATGTTTTGCTCCCTCTTGATCTATGACTGTTATTTTACAAATGCTTAAAAGTGCATAATTGAATTTAAGATAAGGTATGAGATCCTAGAGTTCGTCAAGGGGAATAGAAAGGGAAAATAAGCATCTCAAAATCAATCTCCTTTCAAGGCCATCAAGGCCCCTTCAGTAGAAACCTGATGCCTTCCACGTCTCATTCAGTCACAGTTATCTACACAAATCCACCACAAGAGCCACAAACCTGAAGGATATCATAGATATAATCCATTTTATCTTGTTTCTTTAGGCCTGGCTGGTCTCCCATGAATCTCATCAGAGCTTCAAAATAAGAAATCAGCATTAATCTTAGCTGGAAAAGTAAAATATAGGGTTATGGCACTGATTCCTAAGAGGAGATTCAGGGGCCTCTGTTTTGATCAGTATTATCAACATCAAACATAAACAGTACAATATCTAAATTTATCTTCCACTTAGGAAAGAGAAACTGCCAGTGAACGTGTGTGAGTTTTCTAAAGAGGATGATTCAGAATAAGAATTAGCAATATAACTTTTGTAAACATCTGTTGTTGACCACCAATTATGTACAATAAAATAAAACTATAGACCCAAATGCAAGGGATTTCTCTGTTCTTGTACAAGATCTTTTGAAAATTATCAGAAAATGTGGGAGAGGAAATGCATAAGCACCATCTCATAAGAACTTGCAGTGCTGCCTGGTGTCTAAAATAATTCTTGCTAAAGAATCTATTTTAAAAAAAGATTAAAAAAAATTAAAATGCGAGGGGATCAAACATTGCATTTAAAAAGATTTCTCATTCCAACAGTGTTTAAAATGTTTATACATAACCAAAATCGTTTTTACAGGTTGAGTGTCCAATATAAATAGCATCCCCTTCTCACATTTCATTTAAGATGATGACTAACTACTAATCCTTTCTCTCCTGCCCCCATCATTTGTCTTTTATTTACCACATTGTCAGCTGGAAAAGTTTTGGAAAATGCAAAAGCAACATATATGGAGTTATCCTAGCAAAAATATAATCCTGGTAGTTGATTTTCAGAGAACTAGTAAAAGTAGAAATGTTCTCAGCACCTTTCCTGAATCCATAGGCAAATAAATAAAAGTTTAATCAGTGCTGTTGCAATTGCAATAGCCATAGCAATAGCACTTAGACTTACAAACTGCTTCACAGGGCTCTATAGCAGAGGTGGTATTCAGCAGGTTCTGACCAGTTCTGGAGAACCGTTAGCAGAAATTTTGAGTAGTTTGGAGAACTGGCAAATACCACCTCAGACTGGAGATTTTACAGTATCCTTCCCCTACCACGCACGCCAAGCCACGCCCACAGAACCGGTAGTAAAAAAAAATGAATCCCACCACTGCTCTATAGCCCTCTCTAAGCAGTTTACAGAGTCAGCATATTTTCCCCCAACAACCTGAGTCCTCATTTTATGGACCTCGGAAGGATGGAAAGCTGAGTCAACCATGAGCCAGTGAGAATTGAACTGCCGGCAGCCGACAGTCGGCAGAATTTTCGTTCTAACTATGGCTCTTAGACTACCCATCACTTCTCATTGATTCATTAATGGACCATTACGTACTCAAAAAAAGTTTCGTAGCCAAGTCATTCAACTCATCTTCAAAATGAAACAGGAGAGCTTCCTGGATTGGTACCTACAAAGTCAGAAGGCAGAGATTCAACAGAGGCAGTGGATTTTAAAAAGATATGCAGAAAATGATGGGCGTGTCCTCTTTCCCCAATGAAATTTAATACATGACTAAGCAACTTTTTTTTTGTCAATTTGCACAAGAATAATTCATTGGGGCCCCCCCACATTTTACAGCTAATGCTGGATGGGATCAGAGCCAAAAATGAGTAAAGGCCCCCAACTCGCTTTTCTTTTTGTCTCATCTATTTTCTTCCTTAAAGGTGGTCCCAGATATTATAGCAGTAACTAGATATTTAATATGGAGGGATATAGTTGAAATAATTAAAGGAAATAGGTGATCCTATAGAAACGTATTGGTTTAAAAAGGATATTTTAAAAATTGCAAGGAGGATTCAAAATCCCTTTTTTAAAAATTTGATAGATTTATGGAATAAATGGAGACACTGGTTAATGCCAGGAATTTCTCCTTTAACACCAGTGGTGGAAATGGAGAAATTCCCTAAGATAATATTTGAAAGAATGGATTAGTAAATTAAAATAAAATCAGATATATAAATGGGAAGACTGGAAGAACGCAATAAAGAATATAACACAATTAAAGAAAATTTTATCAGATATTAAATTAAATTGCTTGAATTTGATACAATTAGAGAAATGGATAAAAGTGGAAGAAGGATTCGAGGAGAAAGATAGACAGTTAACAAAATTTGAAATGATTATAAAAGAATGTGAGGTGAATGAAAAATATATAGGTAAAGGAAGAACTGGGAAAATATATAGAATATTAACTGAATTAGAAGAGCATGCAAAAGGTTTAAAATTTATTTGGGAATCAGATTTAGGAGAAATAAATGATAATGATTGGAAAAATATTTGGAATAGAAGCATATATAAGAACATGTCAGTTAGAGTTAAGGAAAATGGATATAAAGTGATATGGAGGTGGTGCCTAACACCACGTAAATTAACTCAAGTAAATGGTAAATATACAAATATTTGTTGGAGGTGCAAGAAAGAGATTGGAACATATAAACATATGTGGTGGGATGGTGATAGTGCACAAAAAATATGGGACATAGTGTTTAGAGAAATGAATGCACTTTTGAATGTAAATTTAGATATGTCACCGAGAACTGCATTACAGTTACTGGTGGATAAACGCGATATAAATGAAACAAAAAAGAAATTGGTTGTAAATTTGATAATGATTGCTAGGTTAGTGATGGCTAAATATTGGGGATGAAATTGGGATATTCAAAGAAATGAGTGGTATAATGAAATTTTGAATAAGGCAACAAATGATAAATTAACAACAGAAACTAAATTTAAAAAGGGGATGATTAAAGTAAACAATTATAATGAAATATGGGGGAATTTTATAAAAAACAGTGTTGGTGGAAGGCAAAGGGAATAAACCTACTCAAGAATATATGTCATTTTGGAAGGGATAAGGGCACAATTGGAATATATAGTAAATCTTTTAATTGTTATAGAAGAATAATTATAAGAAAAAAATGGTCTCCGGGGTTGGGGTGCACTGTAATATTTGTATTTTTTCTTTTCTTTTCTTTTTTTCTTTTGTATTTAGATGTACATGTACTATGCTTGTATTATTTGTATTTAAAATAAAAAATATTAATTAAAATAAAAAGACTTCTTTCCATACTCCAAATAACAAAGAGGAGGAGGCACCCAGACACAAGGACTCCTCCTGATTTACCATTGTATGCTGAACCAAGAGAGCAGGGTCCATCTGTTCAATTCGCATGCCATTCCATGCTTGCCTGGCAGAAACACAAAATGGAGACTTGATTACCTACAAAATGAATTGTGGGAAGTTACAAGAGATGCTCCAATCTCTAGCAAGTGGTCAGTCCCAGATGCAACCTTTGCACAGTGGAAAAGCGTACAATGATTTGCAGAAGATCTCAGATTCTATCTATCCCTCACTTTTCAAGATTAGTTACTTGTGTTTTACCAAAAAAAACAAAAAACACAACCAACCAGCAAATGTGAACAAATTTTGGCAGAGACTCTAGAACTAAAAGAGAAGGGGCCTTTCTAATATCAAATATAACAACTGGAGTCATACCCTGCACTAACCATGTTTTGCTTAGCAGAGTTTATTGAACAATCAACATTGTTCGACTCACACAACAAACTATGCTAAAACTAAAATATCTTTTTAAGGAATATGTCTCTATCATATTAACTTGACAATGTTAGAAAGCAGCTTTCTGTGTTTATAATTTTTTAAACTATGGTCTATGAGCACTCATCTATTTTGCAAGGCAATAACTTACATCTATGCTAAAGGACTGAAGCAATTCCCAGTACTGTTCTCAAGACCCAAACATCTTTAAATTAAAAACTTTAACATTTAGTTTAAAATACTCAATAGACATTATCAGCTGCATACATGTTTCTCCACCCTGAAAGAATAAATAGGGCATGTAAAAAATAAGAAGTTTTTCTGGGAAGGCGATGGAAGTCTTATGTGACCATAGGTACAGTATTTGCTACCTTCTCTATTTTTATTTTAATGATGCAGCTTCAGTGTTTTTATTTTATTGCATATTGTTTTAATAAGCTTTGTATCCCATTCAGGTTTTCTTGGAAATGAAGCTCAGTGTTAAACAATTAAGGACTTATGAGCAAGTTCAGTGTTTACATCACTAACATTAACAGAGGGATAGAATCAAGATCACGTGAAGTGTTTTATAATGCCTTGTTAAGTCCACACTTGGAATACTGCATCCAGTTTTGATTGCCATGATATAAAAAAGATGTTGAGACTCTAGAGAAGAGGAGACAAGAGCAACAAAGATGATTAGGCGACTGAAGGCTAAATCATATAAAGGACAGTTGCTGGAATTGGGTATGTTTAGTTTAATGAAAAGAAGGACTGGGGATGACATAATAGCAGTGTTCCAATATCTGAGGGGTTGCCACAAAGAAGAGGGAGTCCAGCTATTCTCCAAAGTACCTGAGGGCAGGACAAGAAGCAAAGGATAGAAACCAATCAAGGAGAGAAGCAACCTAGAATTAAGGAGAAATTTCCTGACAGAATAATTTATCAGTGGAACAACTTGCCTCCAGAAGTTGTGAATGCTCCAACACTGGAGGCTTTCAAGAAGAGACTGGACAGTCACTTGTCTGAAATGGGACAAGGTTTCCTGCCTGAGCAGGGGTTGGACTAGAAGACCTCCAAGATCCCTTCCAACTCTGTTATTCTGTTATTTCATGGTTTTCTTTTGGGTGATAGAGACAGGAAAACCTACTCCTACATTCTTGAGGAACGTGACAAAAACAATCACCTGTTTTGCATTTTGAGCTCCATACTTAGTATCGCTCAGAGAAATTGTTGATAGCGTATTCACAATCCTTCTTTGCTAAATAATATTTACCTGACAAGTCTCTCCAATCTTCTTATCTCTTTGTTTATCTTCTTCTTCAATTTTTTGGAATCTCTCATCATACTTCAACATCATTTGTTGGATGTTCTCCACTTTTTCATCAGTTTTCCCTGTTCTTTTTTCAATGTTCTCTGTTCTTTGTTCAATGTTCTCTGTTCAAAGTTCTCTATTCTCTTTTCAATATTCTCTGATCTTGCTTGAATATTTTGAATTCCTTGCATAATCACTTTTTCTTGTTCTTTTTCTTGCTTTAACATTGTCTGTATTGAACATTGTCCTCCAGATGGTGGAGAGGAAGAAGTAGAAATTGAAGAACCAGGAGCTGTAAATTTCCTACTCATTTTAAGCAATTCAAAATCTTCAGGTTCTTCTAAACCTTAATCCAATTGTGAAATGACCAATTATAGTTCGAAATAAAAATAGTAGAAAAAAGAAGCCAAATAATAATGATTAAAAAAGGAAAGAAAAAAAAAGGGAGGACAATATTTCTTCAGGTTCTTATATACCTTAATCCAATCAGTAGTTAGATGAAGAAAAAGGCTTGGAAAAAAAAAGAAAGAAAAAAAAAGGAAAAGGAAAAATTCTTCAGGTTCTTCAACACCTTAATCCAATTGAGAGGTCTCAAATAGAAAAGAGTGCATAAAAATAAACCAGTAAGGTAGATGAAAAAACAAAAATACCAGGAAAGGAGAAAAAAGGGCTATTCCCTTAAAAAAAGGAAACATTAATACTAAGGCTTTCTCTTTAAAATAAAAAGCAAACATAGAGATTGGACTTCCAAAGAAAAAAAGAAAAACAAAGACAAGCTCCAACAAAGCCAAAAATCCAAATAGTTATTACAAGAAAAAAAAAGATAAAATGAAATACAATAAAGCTGGTGAGGAGGGATAGCACAACTTAGAAAAAGTAAAAAGAGCACACTGCACTTTGTTTAATTATCCAAGGCTCTTATTATAACTCTCTTCTCCAAAAACATATCACCTTTTTTCCCCCTAGGTTTCAACACCAGACTCCAGCTGTTGATAGAAACCCAGAAGAGCACCTGCAATAATACTCTCCCATGCTCTTCCCTCTATCTTATCCTTGAATGTCCTTGAATGTCCTTGAAAAAAAGTCTCAGTTCTTTCTTTCTCAGCTTTGTCTGGTCACAGAGGAAATAGAATATTTTCAAGCCTCTAGTTGGCAGTGTTACAAAGTTTTTTTGCTCTCACTTTCCCCCTCCTTTTCCAAGCAAGATATAATAATAATTAATAAAAAAAAAGATATTTTAAAAAAAAGAAATAACTAAAAGGGAGCCTCTAGCCTAAAATATTACAAAATCAAAAAGGAGAAAAAAAAATAGATGTAAAAGAAAAAACCAGTCCAGTTTCAATATATAAGATCGTGTATAGAAAATCCAGCAATGAAAAAAAAAAACCATTACTTTGACATTCCTGTTTAAAATCGCCGCTTAATCACTTCTGTCAAAACTTTTACAGATTCTTTCTTTTCCTTAGGGTGTCCTTTCAGATCTTAGAATAAAGTTCTCACCAAACCGGAACACTCTCTCTTTCTGTTCTCTTCCGTTTCGGAGCTGTCCCAACTTCAGCAGCTTTAATGGCTGCCTCTTTGCCGCTGGCAAGAAGAGCTTCTCCTGGATCTACCAGGGACTTTGCGGTATCCCTGGGATCGACAGGATGCGCTCTTCACTCTCACCATCTCTTCGGGATGGTTTAGATCCGATAGGACTGTCCAGGAGCAAAGATATCGGCAGCGATCTCAGACCACCAAGATCGCATGCCGTATCATCACGACGCCAGCTCCCCCCTCCCGGCACTCAGCCTTTCTTATGGTCCAACTTTCACAGCCATACATTGCAACTGGGAAAACCATAGCCTTGACTATACATACTTTATTCTCTGCATGGGTCAGAGATGAAGACATCCCTTTAGGTATGCTTTAAATTGTTCAATAGTCTGGAATTTGGTCTTATCATATACTTCCTCAGATTGAGATAGCACCTGACAATGTGTTTCTTAGCTCCATGAACCTCAGTGCGCTGTTAATTTAAAAAGTTCACATACTTTTTTCAACATTTAATTCTTTATTGACACATATTTTAAATATATAAAAAGCAGACACTGTATAAGACCATTATACAAAGGTAATTATAATAAATCAAACATTAAACTAAATATTGCAGACTAAATAAATACACTAAAAGAATTGATCACAGCACATCAAGAGTGACTTCACTAAACAAAATGGCGGGAAAATAATGAAATTTAGACGGTGATTAGGATTTGGTTGAAATTTAACAGGATGAAGCATAATAACTTGTGGAGAATATGCATGGGTGTGTGTTTGCTGTGGGTGCGTGCATATAAATGAAATATAAAAATATTTATTTGGAGATAGTTAAATCATGAGGAGGGGAGTGGGAAGGGAGGGGAGGAGAGAGGAAAGGAGATGTTTCTTTGGAGTACAATTACTTGCTGACTGTAATGGATAGCAATTTTCTACATAGCCAGTAGCCCGTATTTTCTATATATTGTAAAAATATGAACATGTTCATTGGAACATTTTCCAGTATCATCCAATTATTATCTAATCAGCAAATTAGCAAAATTTCAGCTTGTCAAGCAAAGAAGATTTTTATCCAGTGCTCCGGTGCTCCTAAACCTGTATTTCCAGTAGAGTTGATGAATCAGAGTCTTGGGAGAAATATATCTGAGCAGCTAAGAATCCATGTAGCTTCTGTGATCATTCTGACAGCATAGCAATATCTTTCAAATAGATCACCAGCCATTGAAAATTCTCATTCCAATCCATCTCTGGCATAATAAATATTTTTCAGGAGGAGGATCAGAAGGCTATTTTAGATGACTGATTGAACATCTATCCTTGATAGCTATAGCACTAGCACTTATATACCGCTTTACAGTGCTTTATAGCTCTCTCTAAGTGATTTACATATTGCCCCCAACAATCTGGGTCCTCATTTTACCCACCTTGGAAGGATGGAAGGCTGAGTCAACCTTGAGCCTGGTGAGATTTGAACTGCCAAATTGCAGGCAGCTGGCAGTCAGCAGAAGTAGCCTCCACTCTAACCATTGCGCCACCACAGCTCATAATGTAGTTATGTAATTGATCCCATAAAGGTCCCAAAAGATGTGAGATTTCAACTGTCAGTTGGTTATGAAAAAAATGCCTTATTTTCAAGTAAAAGAACAACAGCTCAGTTTCTTCGAGATATCTGGATAGGAATAAAGGTGCTAGAAGTAGTCTTTCCTTTGCATGTTCTTTATTTAGCTGTCTGATATCTTCTTTATTTTTCCACAGTGTGTATCATGAATAGAAATGTAATTCAGAATTGCAATGTCTGAGACGTTACTGAAGGTTCAATTACTTCTATGTGCCTTAAAACTCTGTGAAACAAGTGACCTGAAAAGTGTATACATGGAAAAGGTTTGGAGGAAGAAAACCTGTGCTCAAATAAACTTGACAGTGGGAAACAAAGGAGCAGATCCTCTCTGCATTGATAAAGGAATTGGAAGCATGGTCCCAGACTATTATTCACTGGTCTGTTTAACCTATCTGTACACCAGCTTTTTATTAACACAAGAAATTAATTAACATAACCTAGATAATGTCTGAATATTTGCACACAGCAAATACAAGGTTGCAATAATCAAACAAAGAATCTTTTCCCATGCCAGTGATAACATAACATAATACAAAGCAGGTCACAGCTAGCTGTTAAAGTGAAAGTGTAGATTGCAATAGCGTATGTTTAAAGGGATTTTTGCTACAGAATACCTACATGAATTGGGCTTCTCGGAAATGTGCCATCGCAAACTCCGTCATAGTGTAGTGGCAAATATCAAGAGAGTTTATAGGTGTGCTAGGCCTGGTAACTTCTGACTCTGTGCTGGGGGCAGAGTTCTGAAGAGACAGAAAATTAGTCATCAGAGAACCGGTACTCTTGGTACTGAAACAAATTCATCCTGTGATGTTCATATTCCATCTCTTGCATTGTCTTCATAATCTGCAGTCTTTGTGGATGGTGTTCATTTCTTCAGCAACAACACCATCTCCTCCCTTCACTTTCTGGCATGACTAATCCCCTTGGTCTCTGCTTGAGCCCTCACCTCCTTGTTAACTATTTTCTCCTGTGTGTTTTTCTTCCAGCCTGTTCGGACTTCTTCCTGTTGATTCATGTGGAGGTTGAGGTAATCGGGAGCTGCCACCACCTGCACCATTCCAGAAGGGAAAAGGCCAGAGCGCCCACCAATAGAGCCAAACTGCCAACCTGAACAGAAAAGATTGAAATTAGGCTAGAAAAACTTGCCTTTGCAACGTATTACCCATAGGGCAGCCCCTCCAAATCTGAATAGGCTACTAATTTGTGAGTTTGAAACTCCCCAGAATTCTTCAATCAGCACAGCTATTGAGAACTGTGTCACAAAAATTAGCTAATCAATGTGCTTGTCTGCTCGAAGTATTAGTGTATGTGTGTATGTGTTCCCCAGTTGGACTCTGATTCCGAGGGAGAGGTGGAACAGCTGACAGGGAGTGGGAGTGTGGCTCTGGTGGCTGTGGAGGAAACTGGGGAAGGGCACAGGCCGGCTGAGCATTCAGAGGAAGACCCAGGCCCACTCCCTCTTCATCCTAGGGTATGTAGGGAGGAACAGATAAGGGAGCAATGTGGTTTATGGGGGAGGAAAGGGCCCCAATCCCCTTCATGGGCTACAGCTGGGAAGACTGTTTAAAAGGGCAAACTGCACATGGCAAAGTTGTTGGAAGCAAAGTGTGCATTATCTTTGCCAAGGCTTATCTGGGTTTTGGCATCCTCCCAACTGCCTCATTATCTTGTGGAAGTCTGCAAGTTATTATCCTGGTCTGTCGTGTTCATTACTTCAGTGTGGTTTGTGTTGGTTTTTTATTTCTACTTTATCTGTATTTTGGGTTCGGACTGCATTTCTTCCCTTTGTAGACTGTTTTTGGAAGAGTTTGATCTTCTGCCGAGGATAATTGGACATTGGGGGCCAAGTTGGAGGCATTACAAGGAATTTATCTACTTTGGTGACTTTGTTATTTTTTTGCCACGCCCCGGGTCATCACAATGTGTGTGTGTGTGTTGTCATTATGGACTCTTGATATTAGTTATTTGTGGACAGATAATTTCACAAATTGAATTCCTGACAGACAAACACGAAGTATTCAGTAATGTCTAAGAACTCTTTCAACAAATGCAGCCATATTTGAATTTAAAACATCCCATTTTGAGCTTAATACATCTTGTTTTGAATGTGAGGCAGCATGGCAAGAGACAGTCTTTTGAATATATTGTGTTTGTGAGATCAGAAGGAGGTAAGAGATATGTTTTGAGCACAAAACAATTCTAAAATGCTCAAAACCACACACTGCAGTTGGCAGTCATTGAAACAGCAGTTTCACTCTTGACAAGAAATATTTTGAGGTTGAAAGAGGATTCATTGGATTGAATCTTTCTCACCTGGCTCCAGCCCCTTCATGGGAAGTAGTCGAATGAAGTCACCTTTCTTGAAATTTAAGAGGCTCTTGTCATCTGTGACATAGTTACGCATAGCAATGACATAGTTGGAATCCTTTTGGAAGGGCGGGAGAGGAAAAAAAGAGGTAAGGGGTTGAAATTATAGGTAGTCCTCAACTTGCAACAGTTCATTTAGTGACTATTCAAAGCTACAATGGCGCTGAAAAAAGTGGCTTATGGCCAGGGGTGAGTTTCTACTGGTTCTGTCCACCTCTGTAGAACTGGTAGCTCTGAAGAGCAGCAGACCTAGAACCGGTTCTATGTCTGCTGATGTTTTTGCCCACTTGCCCACCTGGGCTCTTACTTGACCTTTATTTCCTGATTTTTCAACTTCAGCTGCTGAACGAGGCACAGCTGTAGTTAAAAAAGCAGGAAAAGAGGGCTGTTTCAAAGGCTGCTTCTCTGCACACAGCTTGCTGATGATGATTTACAGGCGCGCACTCACGGCATGCAGGGAAGCACATCATAAATCACCGAACCTCGTTAACCCTGTCATATCCCACCCCTGCTTATGGCCATTTTTCACACAACCTTTGCAGCATCCCTATGATCATGTGATCAAAATTCATGTGCTTGGCAACTGGTTCACACTTACGACCGTTACTGTGCCCCAAGGTCATGGGATCACCTTTTGCCAGCTTTTGACAAGCAAAAACAATGGGGAGGCCAGATTCACTTAACAACCATGTTACTAACTTATCAACTACAGTAATTCACGTAACACCTGTGGCAAGAAAGGTAATAAAATGGGACAAAACTCCCTTAAAAAATGTTTCGCTTAACAACAAAAATGTTGGGCTCAGTTGGGGTCGTAATACAAAGACTATCTGTATTTGGGGAAATAGGTTGACCTTAAAATGTTGGCCTTTGCACTCAGTGCTTTAGATGGGTTACCTGTACAATCCCTCCAAAACCAGCCCATAAGGATTCGTGGCTTGCGCAATGATCTCGTTCTTACCTGTTTCAGTTCTTTCAGGAAGATTTCCACCGTAGCCTTGATCTGCTGAGCTTTTTGAGAATGAAGGATGAGCTGCTCATTTTTCAGAGAGAACTGAAGGATATTCCGACTGATCAGCTCCAAAGAAAGGACATCTGCATAACTGAAAAAGTCAGAGAACATGAATTCTTTGACTTGTTTGGCTTTCATCCTTGGCTTAGTTCTTTAACACCTACCATACTTTACTAAGCCTAACTGGGATAATTTTTGTTAGGACATGGCTTCGGTACTCTCAAAAGTAGTTATAAGAAATCTACTAGTATAAAAAGTACCAAGGCAGAGGTCATCTGCTCTCCCCTTTTATCAAGTTCTAAACCTATACTTGCTGATCTCTCTAATCTGCCACAATGCAATCTAGACCAGGTGGTGCTGCAGCAAAAAAAAAAAAAAAAAGCAGATTGAATAACTCAAAATGATTCAGACAAGTGAATCAAACATGAGTTGAATGAGAAGATCAAAGCAAAACTTGTTTTATTTTGTGTTTCAATGGGAATATGGGAACATTTGATTTTTTAAAAAATTGAATACGTATATTTGTACGTATATATGTTAATTGGTTTATCAAACTAAAATATATAAAGTTTATTGAACAGATAAGTAATGCGGAGGACTAAAATAGGCCCTGCTCATAAGCATGAAGTCTCATAGGGTAAGGAATAAAAAAAAAAGTCAAAAGAAGAAATGAAATGCTTCGGTATAGCTATAAAAAGCCATATGTTTTTGGAAGTCTGTTGGGAATTGATGTGCTGTGCAAATTCGCGTCATGAAGGAGTTTTTCACCAAGTGGAGTCAGTTGATGTTCTCCAACAAGTAGCTAGCATTCCTGATTTATTTGCTGTATCCACACTCAGCATTTGTTTATATGTTTGCCAGGTTTGGTAGATCAAGTTTGTGGTATTCCACTGCCAAGGAAGCAATGGTCTCCCTCATGAATTTAGAAAACAGTTATATACATGGATTTTATTGCCTCTCACCTGAAGCTGCAAAGGATTTTCAGATGTTCAGAACTGAAACTGGCATCTTTGGATTTCTTCAACAGCTGCAGACCCCGGTGAGAAACACCCAGTATCTGGACATCACTTCCATTTTCTCCCTATCAGGAAGGGAACAGACAGCAGCAACAAAATGGTTGACAAAATGTTTGCTCAAGCAGCAAGGAAACTTTTGTGAGAGTTGCTTTGGTGGACCATCTGAAGAGTTGGGCTCTTTGGACCAAATGTTTGATGGATGAAAACTGCAGTCTCTTGCTCTGTTTCAGGCCCCTGGGCCAGAAGAAAGAGGAACACAAAAGAGGCAGGCCAGGTCTACCCTTGACAAATTATTCCCTCGCACAGTTCTTAGCATGCACGCACACACACACACACACACACACACACACACAAATCCTTATCTTTTTTCATTCTGAGTTTTGCAGTTTTACCCATCCAGATTAAATGAGATGACGGGACAAGAGAAAATTCCAGGTGAAGAAAAAATATTGCTTATCTGACTTGGCTCAGCCGTACAGGGAAAGCCAACCAATAATCCTTTAATCTATAAACTATACTTAAACAAAGTAGAGTTTAGCAGAAGGGGTTAATCCAATTAAATTATAAAAACAACAGCCAACGTGGTGTAGTGGCTAAAATGCTGGGTTAGAGACAGTAAGGTCTAGTTCTCCCTTAGGCAAGGAAGCCAGGTAGGGGTGTCTTTGGGCCAGTCATCCTCTCTCAGTCTGACCCACCTCACAAAGTTGTGAGGAAATTAGGAGGTGGGAGCATTGGGTGTGAATCTGCCTTGAGATGATAAAAATGGAGAGGATAACAAACAAACAAAAGAGTAGTATGATCTGGAGACAGGCTTAAACATGATGCCTAAAAACTTTCTGGTGTGGTCTACCTACCTATCTACTCACACAGTCTACCTACTCATGGTCAGTTTTCAACAATGTCAGCCTTCACTGCACAGGCAACCTTTATGTAGCAGAAAGCTTGGTCCAGAGGGGTGCCCTGTTATTGATTTGCCCATAATAGCTGAAGCCCTGAGGGGAAAGTAACCCCTAAATCTTAGTGGAAGGACATAACAGGACTGTCGCATTATAGAAGGCTGAGGTAGGCAAACTTACTTTTACTGGGAAAAGGCGAGAGAAATAGCTGGCCCAGTTATCCCGAGCAGCCACCACAATTCTTTTCTTGATTCCTTCTTCTGTGATGGAGCTGCCATCCATGCCCACATGGAATTCAGCTGACGGCAACAAAACAAAGAAAAAGCTTCATCAGCAGGCTCAGATTATGGATCCATCCCCCTGATGGAAGCAAGCTACAGAGACGACTTTAGCACACTTAGGAAGCACATCAAAGAGTGCGCTGTTTCTAAGGACAGTTTGCAAGCAGGGATCTGGTGTTCTGCAGCCAACATTAGAGAGCCATCTCTTGGAGCTGGTAATAAACCATTAATTGGCATTAAATAGATTGTTTTAATAGTCTAAAACTTTTGGTTATATTTTATTCATGGGAATTTGTGGTTTGGAGATAGCAATGGGACTTGAGAATCTCTCCTCCTTTTTGAATGAGGAGTCATCAGAATCTGGAATAGGTCCAGCAGAAGGAAACATGCGAGTGCTTGTACATGTGAAAGATAGCAATTTTGTGGCTGAAGGGAGAAGGAAGAAATGCAAGTTCCTAAGTGAAACTCTGGGTGCAACCTCAGAGGGCTACCCATACCGTTTCCTGGCTTTTAGAAGTACTTGTTTGCTTTCACTTATCTTTGCAAATAAAGCAAACAGACATTTCAAAACTCTAGGGCAAATTCACTTCAAAGAAACAAACCCTGACAACACTGTTCTGGGACATTTTTTTCTTTTGGAAGAATAGGAATGCATATATAACTGTGGTGAGATTAGGTTGGATTAAGTAAATTTGGGACATGTGCATGTAAAATGGCTAGCAGAAAGCACTCTGGATTTTTAAACTTGTGGATCAGGATCTCTTTGGGTTACGCACAGCAGAGAGGTTACCCAACCTCTCTGGAGTGGAGATGCTGGAGAATGATTTGCAGGAAAGAAATTTTATTGCCCAAATGGAAGAAAAACATAACGCCATGTTGCCATGCCCAGAAAGCAGCTAGACTGGCAGCTGAATCTTCTTTTGATGGAAGTGATGCAGAGCAATAATGCCTTCCAAGATACCCAAAAGAAGAGGCTGGCTCCCGGGGTGGAGAATAAGCCCTGTGCCATTGGCAGTGCTGTCTTCCGAAGGAAGGGAGGAACTGGGTTGCCTCGTGTTATTGAATGGAAGGAAAGCCCTGAACTTCTGGACGTTGGGACTGGGCAGAAATTCATCTAACACAATGCTGATGATTATTTCAATCCCTAAACAGTTACCACTAAGCAAGGAACATTTAGAAGTGGGTTATTTGTCTTAGCAGGAGAGTCTTAAGTGGGTTCAATACAGTGGTGGAATTCCATTTTTTTTACTACCGGTTCTGTGGGCGTGGCTTGGTGGGTGTGGCAGAGGAAGGATATTGTAAAATCTCTAGTCAGAGGTGGTATTTGTGGTTCTCCAAACTACTCAAAATTTCCGCGAACGGTTCTCCAGAACTGGCCAGAACCTGCTGAATACCACCTCTCGTTCAATAGCAGATTGTGAAGGCAGAAGATGGTTATCATATAACAGTTCCCATAATTTTAATGAATAAAAGAATGGAAAACAATTCTTCAGTTTTAGATGGAATGTGCATGCCTCCAAGATCCTTGAGGACCAGGAAGGGCACATGGCTTCCTTACTTAACAGGTCTTTCATTTTGCGCCTCTCCTCTTTGGAAATTCGAATGCATGAATCGGAGTAAGTATCTCTCAAGATCTGGGAAGGAACAAAAATGGATTACAATTCAACTCGTAAGACTTACAATGCAAGTGTCAAGCTTTGAGATAGAGCGTGTGAAGGAAACCAGGTATATTCTTTGAAAGAGACAAAACATAATGAAGAAAAAAATAAATAAAAGATGGAATCTTGTGATGGAGAGGCTGATGACCAAAATAAAAATGAGTCTCTTATCTTTCAGACACATGTGTGAGCTCTCACTCTCTCTCTCTCTCTCTCTCCCCCTCTCCCTCCCTCCCTCTCTCCCTTTCTCTCTCACACACACACACTTACCTGGTCACATAACAGATTCAAGCAGTAAGGATGACTGAAATTTTCCCTGGGATAAAAAACCTATTGAGGAAGAGATCCAACACAAAGTTGTTCTTGCATATGTACAAATAAAATCATGACTCAAAATAGCACATGATTGTGTACATTAATATATTCAAACACAATTCATTGAGTGAAGATAACATATAAACATATATTTCATTCGGGGGGAGAAGGAGTGGCTTATCGACATAAAACTCTATACTGGCATAGGAAAAGTAACTAAACTCACCCTATCCTTTTGAATGCTATTCTTCTCCAACCAGCCATACAATCAGACATGTTGCTTCTAACCAATTATATGCTTTCACACTGTAATTTAAAAAGGCTTACTATTTTTTATTATTTTT